GAAAAACAGCTGTATAATTCTAAGAATTTATTTCCCTATTAGTAACTCCTGCCTTTAGACTATTTTATTTATTTTTATATTTATCATCCTATAAGGTTTTATTTATAAATATGTTATATTTATTTAAAGTACATAAAACAAATTTATACTACGTAAAATAAAGCAAGTACTCCAAAAAAGTTATTGTAGAACTAGGAGTATCAGTATTTTAGAGATTTGCAGTTTGGAAATCTAAATGTATAGGGAATATGGAAATACTCTCTTCTTGCTGAGATTTACTATTGTCAGCCTGATGTGTTCAGCACAATTATTCTAAGCATTTTTATGTTGTTCTAGTTGGTTACTATGGCACCCACACATTATACTAAGTCATGACTTGTTCAAACTGTGTAAACTGAGTAAACAATGGCAGGATTCACACAGTAATCTAAGCCCAAATAAGAACATTTATGATTCAATGTGGTGTGACTCCAACCAGTAAATACAAGAGATGGGGTGGGGGGGACGGGACCAAGCACAGTATAAAGTGTGTTAGGGCAGAGGGTGATTCTCATAGCTGTTTTCAAACTGAATTCAAACTATGAATTCCTTATTGTCCCATGGGGCTTAGGTCTCTCAGTAACTTTCTCAGTCTGTGTATGCATGGTTAAGGTTAGCAGGTGCTGTTTGGAAGATGACAGTCTATTCCCAAAGGTGAACACATCCCACAGAGAGTGACTTCTAATCCTTTTTTCCTTTCCTGCTCTTCTCTCGATTCTTGATATGTGCAGAGCTGGGCCAGAGCTTCAACATTTCTTCCTTTCCCTAAGAGAAGGCCAAATGTAACTATTCTCTTGCCATATAACACTCTGTGCGCTTCCTCTGGAAGCAGTTACTGTAATAGTATACGCGAAGAATTCCCTTATCCTGCATAGGACACTGTGTTTTGTGTTTTTGCTGTAAAGTTTATTTTTAAACATACATCAATATCGTTTCATGGACAGTGTGGCGTCTGAGTGTCATTCATTTTAGTAGAAAAGTAATATTAATACAAATAAAAAATACTAATCAAATTTACATGATCTAATGTTATTATCTATATCAGCACATAATCCTTCATTTTTAGGTTATTCAATATTTGCTACATTCTTCTTCTAATAATAATAGCAATATTAGGTATATTTTTGAATATACCTAATAACATCCTTTTTCAAAATCTAGTCTTAACCTCTAACATTCACTTTAAATGTATTATGTAAAAATAAGTATGACAACATTTCCCCTATTTCTAATTTTAATCTATTCTAATTTTTAATACAGCCAATCTTGGTTGTTTTTTTTAAAAGAGTCCTATCTATCCATCATCTCTCATTCTCTTGGATGTTTCTTCTATTTTTGACTTGCCTCCCATACTCCTCCCTTGGGTCCTTATCTACATCTTTTATATTCAACCCAACCATCATTTCCATCCCCACTATTTTTTGACGCCAGTCCACCCATAAGTCTGTCAAATCCCATCTTTTCTTCCAAAAATATGTTTCAATTTATTCATTCCCATTTTTCTACCTCCTAATATATATTCTCCCAACTAGGACACTGTGTTTGTTGTATTGTTTAGGCTTTCTTTCTGGAATGAGTTCCTTTCTGTTCCAGTGGCTTTGCTTACAATAAAACTGGGATTAACCATAAACCATGTTTATTCTACCCAGTTTTCTAGTTTTGCTAAAATAGTGAATCATAAACTAATCAGTCAAGCTGGGTCCACATAGCATGCTTGGGTAAAACGTGATTAGTTTTCTTAATGGCCCTTCTAAATCTCCCCAATGTTATGTCTCATTTACAGTAACCATCCCAGGCAAGCAGCTTCTCTATTTGCACAAGGTTGCCAGGGATACACAATAATGGGTGTTTTTGGAGTTTCTCATCAAGCTTTTTGCTGCGCATAAATGCTCAACCAATCAAATAGGACCACTGCTGGCTCTATTGGGCCACCTTAACCCTAATGAAATCTTTTACATCTGATTACTCGGGTCAAAATATGAGACATTACCCTGTATTTGTTGACAGTGTTCCTAATTTAATTTTTTTTATGGTTTGAGAGTTCAACCTAGCATGATTTTGTATGGTCAGGTTTAGGGCTTCTTTGCATGCAGAGCTTCCAGTTCTGCCCAAGTGGCAATTGTCATCAGCCATTCAGTCACGTCCCCCTTTGGCCAAATTATGGGTCAGCATTCTCCATGCCTGTCTCACACCACTTCTTTCGGATCCTTCATGTTCATCCTGGTGTCATCCTTTATAGTGGCCAGCCAGTGGGTACTAAGGCGGACCCTTCTCCTTTTTCCACTGATCACTCCCAGCATGATTGGCTTTTTTAGTGAGTCAGTTCTCAGGACATGACCAAAGTATGACACCCTCTGGTTGGTGATCTCAGCTTTAAGTAATATTTTTGGTGAGGTTTGGTAAAATCTGTCCCCTTGGAGAAAAAAACTACTTGACCCATCTTAGCGATATGTATAACGGTCATATTATATATAGATACAAATATAACCTACCAAACCCTGGCTGGTCTTAGAAAGAGCGTCAGATCAGATTAATACTTGATAGGGGTTGATTAGGGTTGCAGTTAAATAGGAAAATGAATCAGAAAGACAGAATGTTCCATCAGGTTGAGAAGCACACTGCATGGACACGTCATGAAAGCTGGCGGAAACTTAAGTTTTTCTAGATGGTGAATTTATTCTGTTAGTTTATCGGGTTACTTTAGGTACTTATGAAAATCCAGAGAGAAGGTAAGGATGTAGTAGTTAGCAGATCAGAACTTTTGAAAAATCCGAGTTTAGTCTTACATACAGAAGTTAGATTCAGCTCATAACTGAAAGCAAGGTAACTTTATTTTTTCCCCTAATGAAATACATATGAAAGTCTTTTCAAAAAGAATGCAAAAATAAAAGTAATAAAGGAAAAAAAGTTGGAAAATGAAAATAGAAAGACAAGTACATATACGAGGGGATAAATAAATTTAGTTGTAACGAGCAGAAAAGTAGTAAGAAAAGAAAATGTACTAGCTCCTATTAAGGCTTCAGAAAGAAGTTATAAAAATATATCGGGACATGACAAAAATGAAATATAATTTAGCAAATGAATGCAAAAGAGGCTTCTGACTATATGAAGGAAAGTGGCAAAATGTGTAACAATCTGGTGTGTATCTATTCCTACTAAATTCAGTAAAACTCTTGCGTAAGATTATCTCAAAACACAATTTGCAAAGTAAGGTTATCTGAAGGTGAATCAGAGAAGATAGATATTGAAACTTTTGTGCAGCTAGTTTCCAGGATATACTGGAGAGCAAAGCCAAAAATCTTGTGCAAACAATATTTAAACGTATGCAATAAAGATCAAATGCATCACCTCTGAATTCTTACATGAATTTACATTTTACATACTAGCCTTCAGAGAACTAGATGATCTCAATATGAAAAAGTTTTGTTCTGTATTTTGCCTAGTCAAGTTCTCAGTAATAAATTGTCTAAAAATTTAAAGTAGGCTGCTGGAATATTTAATGGTTGAAAACATAAGAAAACTGCCATAAATAATGCAAGTTTCATGACATATTTATGTAAATCCATGTATTTAAATAATTATGTAAAATTATTTATATAATTTATATTATTCAAATATTATGGTCTTTTATGACTTTGAAGATCTGAAAGGGATGGAAATATTTGGTGATAGCAGGTAACAAAACAGAACTCACTCAGAAATCTGTTCCCTTTTCTCTGTTGATCACCCATCACTTTTAGTTTTTTTAAACATCAAGCTCATCATGTTCTTTCAACCAGTGTCTCAACATGAACCACTTGGAAAGACCTAGATTTAAGGGTTTTTAATTGAGACTGGTAATTGTACTCTCAGGATGGGAAAAAAAATGGAAGAGATTTCAATCAATTTTCTTTTTGAAATGTGATTTATAAAAGGATAGTACCACACAACTTTTTATTTAATATTTTAAGCTCACTGAAATTAAATTTCAGATAATTAAGCATTGGAACTGCTCCATATAGAAGTCATCTTTGGTATAAAAACGGAATTCATGGAAAATCTGATGTAAGATCAAGCCATTTGTTTAGAAATGGGCTGTTTTATTCTATATTGTAATGTCCAATGCAAACACTAAAATGCAAAGCTTTTTACAATCTTGATATCATTAAAAACACAGGGGCTTTTAATATTTGCAGAAATGTTCGCTAATCCTATACATTATACCTTTGAAGATGAAAAAAAGCTGAGGCAGAAGGACCCACCCTATTGCTTTCCTAATTGGCCCTTATCAGTGCTACTTTGCATTCCAGCCAGCTTCTCTAGGTTGCATTTGGAGGAAGATATTCAGCAGTAAACTAAATGCTCATTAACAGCAGGCCCGCTTTCAGAATGCTGGTGCTATTTTCCTCAACAAATAAAAGCTCTTTCTGATAGAAAAAAAGTTATTTTCATATTATACAATCCATCAAAAACATTTACCTATTTTTTTAAAAAAAAATAGTTCAAGGTAGTAGGGCTTGTTATATGTAAGATATGGTACATAGGAGCACTTCACTTATTCTAATTTTAACTTTGCAAATACATTTTATTACCACACTGGGATTTACAAAACTCTGTATCAGAAAATGAAAGGAGCATTAATAATAAGATTGGTAAAATGATGTGACAGGGCTGAATATTTAGAATGGCATTACTATACAGCTGGTAGCTAACTCGCTGACCTAGGTACTTTTCAAATGCAGAGAAAGGAATTCCCAAATTTCTCAGCTGTCTGGAGAATTTGGGAACCACACATCAGAATATGTGCTTAAACACTAAAGAAAGCTGCCCTATATAATGCAGATATTTTTTACTAGGGGAGCTTGCATGTATCTGACAAGCAGGTGGAGCCAAAGCACTTTGAATTATGTGTGTGTGTGCGTGCGTGTGTGTGTGTATAAAACTTGAAGTAGGAAAATAACAAAACTGTCAAGACTTTATTCCCCCGGCCCCATAGTTTAGTTCAGAGAAATTTGAATTTGGTATGGAGCAATCAGCTAAGCTGAGATTTCTGGATAAACTCTACTGATGCTGCTGGAAACAGGTCCCATCCCTACCAAGCACCTAAGGGAAACATAGTAAGTCCTTCTCCTCTCATAAGAGTTGCTCTAGATGAGAAAAATTATATCATCAGACATCATGATCTGGTTATCTTCTTGCATCTGTTCCAACGCTGCTTTGACTTCAGCTGATGAAAAAGGAGTTGGATTGTCCCGGTTGACGGATTCCAGCAGGCTCTTCAGATTCACAGACTGTGCATGGGCAACTCTGAATACTTCCAGGAGGGCTGCCTTGAAGGTTTTAAGCCTATGCGAGAATCAGAACAAAGTAAGAATGCTTTGAAGGAAAACCTTGCTACTACAGTGAGTGAATAAGAGCAAAAAAACAATAAAAGGGAATGAATAGGACAGGGAGAAAAGGACTAGGGGATTAATCGGTACACTCCTTTCAATTTCAAATAAGGTTTGGAGTGCACGGAAATATAATTTTACCACCTGCCTGCAACTCCTTAAAGCATCTGCATCTTTTCCTGGGATCAACACTTCAATGTGAAAAATAGCTGCACAGTCATACAAGACATATTTTGGAGCAGGGGTGTTAAACTGGCGGCCTGCAGGCCGGATGTGTCATGCACAGCCCATACCCAACCCAGCTCTGCAAATGGAAAAATGTAAATGAAATGTCACATGACGGCAATGTGACTTGGCGAATTTGACACCTGTGCTTTAGAATGTTGCAAATAAGATTCTATATACCATATATTCCAAATTCCTCCCTCCCAAAGTTATGCACCGTCTTTAATAGTGCCTCCTTGCTGCCTTCTGTAGTCACATGAATACCAAAAACATTATATTTTAAGTACACTATTTTCATCTATAAAGACAAAATAGGAAGCTGCAGCCTTCCTTTCTACAGTCTAGAATGTTCTATTTTGATTGAAAGTTTCTCTTGAAGATTTCACATAACATCTCATGATTTGTAGATCCCATAAATTGAGTTTGCTGGAATCAAACAAGTATAGAAGTTGAAAGGTTCTATTAAGAAAATAAATTTCTTGTTCCATTTAGGAATATAAACTAAGCCATCCAGTTAATGAAGAAACAACCTTTTTGATAAGTTTTTCTTCCTAGCATTTATTTGGAATCTGCCTTCTTCTAACTTAAATGCATAATTATAGATCTTGTACACTGGAATAAAGTTTTGACTTTCTCTTTCACATCCTTTGTATATGTGAAGATTGTGATCAAACTATCCACTATTGACCTCACCCCATTCCTAAGAGGTCTGTAAGGGGTGTACATAAGTGCACCATCGTGCCTCTGTCCCTGTCCTATTGTCCCCATTTATTCCTGCATTCTTACTCAGGTATATACTTATATCTATTATCTTGTAAGCGATTGACAAATAAATAAAATAAAATAAAAATAAAATATGTGAAGAGTGTGATCATATCCTCCACTAATCAAAGCTAAACATTCCCCAATCCTTTCATTTTTCCTCAAAATTTAGTTTTTAGGATTTGTAGGACAATCAACTGTTTAGGGTAGCCAATCCATGGTGGCATCTAATGAAGTGAGCTGGAGTTCAGAAAAGCTTGTCTTTTAATAAAATGTCCAAGCATGAAAAGGTGTTTCCCCAGATTTGGTAACCGCATTTCTGTCAGTGCAGTCTAAAATTGCATCTGCCTTTTCCTTGGCCATATTGTACTGCTGATCTTGAGATCTGCTGTGCACTATGTATCGTTAATGCTCTAGCTGGAGCATGTGGGCAGTATCATTGCACATCACTGGATTCCCAAAGATCAGCCCATCCCACAATTGAGCCAAACACGTTATTTCATTCAGTAGCTGTCTTGTTTAAAGCTAAGTGGCATAAATAGCTTTAGGGAGATTATACAGCATTGATTTAAGGTAATCAGTGGATCCAACAGACTCTCAACATAGGACTTCTCACTTACTCTTCTTTCTAATTGATCATCAGTGGGTAGATGAGTGAGAAGTGGGGGAGGAAGGCTTGGCTCAGAAGCACTAAATCTCCTCAATGGTCTGTGGAGTGCAAGTTAGGGTACATTCTTTGGGGAGGGAGATGGGAAATCATAACTGAAGTAGGGACATCTAGCATTCAGTGCTGCCATTTTCCATCCCTTCGGGTGCCTAGGCCGACTGATTCCCTGGCAAATAACAAGCATAGGAAGGAGTAAGCCTCATGTGGATGTCCAGATTGTCATGTACAGAGACAGGATTGTCCGATGTTGAATACTTTTGGAATGGTCAGAACATCTCTTCTGAACTTGATCAGAATGATTACTTTGAAATTCAATTAGTGTTTTCCAAGGTCAAAAATAATCTGTTTTGATTAAATATGTTTTGCATATCACTATTTCAGATCCCCAAATCTCATTTCATTTTACTCTATCATGTAAGAGTCTTTGCCGCTTCCTACCTGGACTCGGACAACTTTAATGTAATCTCATCAGTACTTGATGCTTCAGGAATCTTGGAGGGGTGTGCCTGAACTAAAAAAAAGTAAAAAGAGGAAAATGAAATTAATAACCAATTGGCATGAACTGATTTGTACCTTTTGTAAAAGAAGCAGACACTGGTGTCTACTGGGGAAGATATTAAAACAAGATTATTAATTTATTGCTAAAGTGAAATTTGAGCTAAGCATATTTAGGTTCCACTTACTGAACAGCAAGATGTAGTTTGCAGCTTACATGAAACATGAGCCTATCCACTGTTATTTGTAAACTATAGAGTATATCTTAGGGAACAAATTCTATATTATTCCATTTAATTGTTAAACAAATCAATTTAATGTCATGTTCAATTTAATGTCATGTTCACACAAAAATAGCACCAAGATACATCTAGTAAAATTGCTCAAGAGATAAAATAACAAGCATTTATTAGGCTTGGCATTCTTAAGGTTACCAGGTCCATTTCCTTATAGCTAATTAACCTTTTTAATATGCTCATAAGTTTCATGCCCTTGAGAGCAGTCTCATACCAATTTGCCTTAAAATAAGATCCACTGATCACAGATTAATGTATTTCTTCAGAAATACAGGGGATTATTTCTTCTTGTCTTGATAAGCAGCACTTTTTCCTCCTCTGCTTCAGAAAAACAATCTTTATAATCAAACTTTTATCAAATTTTACAAATACAAAGTTAAAAAAAATATCAACTAAAAAAATATAAAAAGTACAGAATAGAATAGAACTCTTTATTGGCCAAGTGTGATTGGACACACAAGGAATTTGTTTACAGAGGAAAAGAAAGAGAAAAAAAGGAAAAAAATGTTATAAAGAGGAAAAAAGATATATAAAGAAATGACTCCTGCCCCAAGGCAAGTACGATTTCAGTAACTAATCACCTTCTCTAATATTTCAGTCAAAGATCTTTTCTTCCTATATCTCACGTCTCATAAAACGTCATAATTCAATCTTAATCAGCAAAAATCTATTAAGATTTACAGAAGTAACACATATATTTTAAGCTTAGATAAAATCAGTTTCATTTCCATTTCCTTTTCCTTTTAATACAGTAATTTACCACTTTCTCAAAAACTGTAACAAAAATTCTATATTTTATCTCTTATCTATAAAAAAATCTTTAAAACCTCATCATTCAAGCTTAAATCAAAAATACATTAACCACCAGAAAGTGCAACATACTAAAAACCTTAATAGTTAATCCCTTCAAATAATGTCCCACATATCAATTTCTTATTTTCTCTCTCCTCAGAACTGCCTTTACAAGTTTAATAATATATCTTTACTTTCAAAACCATAGCTTATTATTGTCTTTAAAAATACAACTTTCACATTATCTTCAAAAAAAATCTCTAAAGCCTCATCATTCAATTCTAATCAAGAAAAAAATATTAAGAGCTACTAGAAAGAACATCATAAATATTTTAACCTTGCTCAAATAAACTGACTTCATATTTTCTCCTTTTAAGTCTTGGTTTTTATTAAATAAAGTCCTAGGAACTTATTTATTTTCATTTTCTCTTCTTTTCTTAGGAATTCCTTCATTAATTTAACAAGTCTCTCTTTTGGAAAGTCGTCCAAGTCACTCTTCTGATTTATTATGTGTGTCCCTTTTAGTTATTAAGCCATCAGTCAGTTTCATTTGTAACAACTTTTTCCATATCATTCTTGTATCTTGTCATTTTTAAATCCATATCCAAAACAATCTAATTCTGAGTTACACTCTCTTCTCAAACTCATTTTTATATTGACAGATAATCTTAAGGGAAATTTCTCTTCCTTGAATTCTTCCAAAGTTAAAATATTTTTCTTTATTCTGCATTAGTAGTTCTCTTCTCCTTTAATTGTAGTATTTAGTTCTTTCTGGTTGCCTCTGCTGTCCAGCCTTCAGTCTCCTCTTACCACGTTTTCCTCTATTCCACCACATTTAGATAACCCAGTATAATGAAACTTGTCATTCTGAAGGTTCTTAATATCCCAGAGCAGTTAACAAGCTATTTACAGAAGTAATTAAGAGAGGAAGTAGATAAACTCAATGTCCATTTGAAGGGCCTGAACTACAACTTGGACAAACCTGATTCTCTTGGTGCCCCAAGCATTAAATCTGCCAGATTTGCCATGGAGGACACCTATATGGAGTACTAATGGCCAGTACTAGGTCGTCCCCCCACATTTCTCCAGAGAGGAATTTCTAGGTGCCAATCCTGCAGTCAGTGGCTCTGTTAAAAGCGAAACTGTCTTTAGTCCACCATTGCTTCCATGAATATCCCAATCATTCAGAATCAATAAAACCTCTTGGGAAAGGCAGCAATAAAGGCTGACTCACTAGATATGAAGTTGGTATATTATATAGCTACCCTAACCTTATATGTGGCTACTGCACATATCCTGGACAACAATAATAAAGAATAACATTTATATAATTAGATTATGTGATTGCCATGCTATTGCCATGCTAAATATATTTCAGTTTGAGAATGTCATGCATTCAGATTCCTTATGAAGGAAAAATCAGTTATTGTAGGAAGGATTGGAGATATCAGAAAGTAAGGCTGGCAAAGGACAAGTTGGATAGATATCACGAAATAAGATACAAATAGTCCTTATTTAGTGATTGGCTCATTTAGCCACTATTCACAATTATAATATTGTTGAAAAAGTAACTTTGGGACCAATCCTCACATTAATGGTATTTCCAGGTCTGTAAAGCAAAGGATAGCTAAAGTAAGACTGTAAGCACAGGTGATTTCATTTAGCAATCCTTCACTTAATGACCAAGTTGCCAGTCAAAATTGTGACTGTTAAACAAGGACTACCTTTACTGGTTAAAAACTACAAACATTAAAAAATCCAAAAAAACAGAAACAGCACATCTGTCAAGCCTCTGAAAGATGTGGTCAAACTGATGAAGTCAGAAATAAACGAATCCTTTCCAAACTCCAGAAGGATGCACTGTACTTTAAAACTCAGCAGAACAGACTTAGTTTGCCTAAATCTATTCATTTATCTGTCTGAAGGAAATGACTTACTGGCTGGCATTTCTGCTTCTGTGTCACTGAAGTCATAAGGATCATATGTTTCTCCTTCTGTGGGTGACTGCTTGCTGGAATCTGTCTTCCTTCTGTAGAAGGACATCAAGTTAATAGTAAGCCTTTTAATTAATGATCTTCAAAATATATTCATTTAGATTATTTATATAGCCATTTAAATTGGAAAATTGCAACTCAACACAACATACACCAAATTAAAACTCTCCCAAAATATGGTAGTTGAGAACTGGACAATATCAGCATAAGGCAAAATCCAGAAGCCGATATATCAACAATATGACATCAGGGCTCATTAATCATACATTCTTGTCTCCCAGATAGGTTTAGCTATTGTATTGCCCCAACATCTAGGAGAAAATCCAAACTTTTAAAGTTTTTCTGCTGGCTAAATATTATTCTGTGGGGCTGATGAAAACGCATTTCATCTCTTCTAAAGGGGCCATTCTGAACAACAATTATGGATAATACTATCCATTAATAAAGAGGAAATGAAGTTTTTACATCTGTTTTGGCAACAGGAAATAGCTACTAATCTTAGGATTCTCAAGTGTGACGTAGTTCAACAGCATTTGGTGTTAGTATGCAAACCCAAACAGGCCAGTATACAGTATGCAAGACACAATAGGTCTCAAATGCATAACCAGATTCCCAACATTAGAAATATACAGCTTCAGGGAAACAACTCCTCAAGTTAATCCCATCTGAGCAGGCTGATGAAAAAGGGCAATTATTCAATTCCATATTAACCCTAACAGCCTGTTTGCCATGTCTGCAGGATCAAGGAATTTTTAAATCTTTTTTTTTTAAGTTCCCCTATAACACTTTTCTTATCTACCTCTTTTTCTGTCTTTCTTCCCTTTCTTGGGACATTTCACCATCTGTTTCTTCTTCGGGGTCCTCTTCAGTCTGCTTTTTCCGCTTCTTTTCTTTTTCCAGAACCTTTGAAAGTAGAGAAATCAAAGAGTCCATATCTGGGCCAATTAATAGCTGCCCAGAAGCCTAGGGTCATCAGAGTTCCATAGAGGAAGACAGGAGCTGAATGTTTCTTCCTCCAAGATGGGAATCCCTAATAGTTTTAAGAATTAATTTCAGCCTCAAAAGAAATAAAACCATCCAGTATTTTAGTTTCAACAGACATTAACTGCCATAAAAATATGGTATCTCCCATGATAAGATTATAAAGCTACCAAGAAAAATCTCAAAACAATTACTAGAAAATTATCACAATCGCCTCCTCGGCACGTGTTACAATGTTGCTGATGAAAGTGAATTGTAACTTTGGATCAAAACCAGATGGTCATTCACACACTGTGTAATCCTGTCACAAGGCTGTCTACAGCACAACCTCAATCTCTTTCGTAAGCACTTTAGCCGCATCAAAGAAGTAATTAGTCATTCATGATGGGCATAGCTTCTACAGTCTCTACAAGTCTCGGCTGCTGGCAATGACTAAAAATGAAACCAATGACCTACATTGGCATCCAAATAAAGAGAAGCAGATTCCTGTACATGTTCGAATGGGGCAATTCATGCCACCTCTTATATCCTTTGGCTTTGGTTAATTTTATTATCTACTGACCACGATATAAATTGAGGTATTACACATGGCAAGTAACGATATCAGTAACATCGGTTGAATACAGGTAACCCTCCACTTACAGCAGTTCGTTTAGTTACAAGTTACAAGAAATGTGTGACTTATGGCCATTGTCCACAGTTAAGACTTTTGTAGCATCCCCATGATCACGTGATCGAAATTCAGATGTTTGACAATATTTATGACCGTTGCTGTGCCCCCTGGTCATGGGATCATCTTTTGCGACCTTCTGACAAGCAAATTCAATGGGGAAGCCAGGTCCACTTAACTTAGCAACTGCAGTAATTCATTTAACAACGGTGGCAAGGAAGTTATTAAAATGGGGCAAAACTCACTTAACCAATGTCTCATTTCACAACATAAATTTTGGGCTCGATTGAAGTCATAGATCGAGGACCATCTGTACTGAAGACACTTCTACATCCAAATATGCAAACCAACCACTATTCAGGGTCAGCCCAACTTTAATTATTTTCTTACAACTCTTGTCTACTCACCTTTTTGAAATAAGCAAATTGTACCAACTCTACAGCAGCTTTGGCATCCTGCTTTTCAATTATTTTACTCATCCTCGCTTTAGCGTGTGCAGTTGAGAGCCGGATCAATGTCTCTAGAGTTCGGGCTGTAATAGGGGAAGTCTGAAAAGAGCAAGTAAAAGTCTTAATGCTTTTCAGAATGAAAATATGATCAACATTCAAAGTGTTGTGTGCACGTACAGACATGAGCATGTTTGGTGCAGTACAACAGTTCTTTAAGACTAGATCTTATTCATGGACTACAAACTTCACCATCCATACAAGTATTAGATTAGGTGGGAATTCAATGAGATTGCGGTGTATAAAAATGGGGAACACGCCCCCAAATCCTAGCCTAACACTCTACAGTCTACACCATGCTAAATGGCGTCTTTTATAAGCCTTTCCAGTGTACAGAGACCATGAAATTTGCAGCATTTCTGCATCCCTTAGTCCACACAGAAGGGGATTTCCCGTTGAAATGTAATTGGACATTAAGATAAAGATTTCTAGACTGAATTATGATTCTCAAAGCAGTGCACATTGCAAAAATAAAAAAAAAGAACTTGATTCGTGGCTCACCCTGGCATTGTCGGAGGTGATCTGCTCCTGACTGCGAAGGGAAGAATATTCCTGGGCTATGAGCGCTGCTGCTTCCTCAGTCAAAACTGGCTTCAGCATCTTGGCAAAATGAATATACTTCCTCATGAACTCCATGCTTACAATCTTCTCTCTGAGTTTGATCAAACAAAATCCATAAACTTCCATCTATTAGAGGGTAACAGGAGTCTTATTGCCATCTCTGGGGATTCTTGGCTGGGAATCACTGATTTATAGTTAAACAGCATGTTGTGGGCAGATACTGAGAAGTGGAGATAAAGATGGATTTAAAACCAACAGATGGACTACCCATTAAGAGAATGTGGCTGCTAGAATTATGCTCCTTGATACTAGTCTTAATACTCCGACAGTGGAAATATAGGATGCTGTTAGTGTTTGGGGATAAACCCCCAAGCAGAGTATGCAGCAGCAGTCAAGCCAGGCAGGCAAATGAGAGAGAGGCTGGGCCCAAGGGTATACACACACTGGAGACAAAAACACTGTTTGTGGTTTTAAAATAG